GCTGGGCCCACCTGGATGACGCTGCCGTTCCTCCCTCTCTTCTCACTGGCCCCACCTGGATAATCACGCCATCTCAAAACCACTGACTTAATCACATCTGCAAAATCCCTCTGCCACATAAGATACACCGTCACGGGTTTGGGGAATAAGGATGTGGTCAACCCTTGGGGGCAGGGGAGGCATTCTTCTGCTGACCACAAAGTCTACATTACTTTTCCATTGGATGCGGTGCCAGAAACTCAACAAATGCTTGCTGGTCTCTTAGTCACGATATTTAACATATATCCCAGCATCAGCTTCCTCCTCTTTAAACAGAGATAAAAATACCTGGTAGGAGTGTCAAAAGACATAACGCGCAGGAACATGCTCCAAAAACTAGAAAGAGCCATAAAAACAAAGATGGTGCCTCATAATCTAGCAGTAGGGAACAGACGTAGCCATCTGTGAAACAACTAGCATATAAATACAGCCAGAGAGTATGGTGCAGAGAGAACGCCAATCAATTCAACAGTCATTACAGAATAGAGGCATGTTATCACTGGCCTTGAGGGAGTCCACTTAGGGTACTACATAATTTAGTATCCAAATGAGGACACCTTTGAAAATTGAAGGGGGCACTCTGTTTACTCCAGAACAAAAGTATAAACCAGGACTCTTCCAGGCAAACAGAACTCCTGGTTCCCCTAAGTGCAGCCCACTGGCTGAGCCTGGGCTCTGCAGCCAGATGCCTGCGTTCAAATATGAGATCCAGCACTTAGAGCTGTGTGACCCTGGACAAGTTACTTAACCACTTTCTGCCTTGGTTTCCTCATCTGTAAAACGGGGATAACAGACTTATCTCGCAATGCTGATGTCAGGATCAGATGAATCGTTACATATAGAGCATTTAGAACAGTGCCTGGCACATAGTGGGCGCTCAATAAAAGCTAGTGATCATTACATATCAAGGCCACACATGTCTAAATTCTCACAAGTCCACAGCACAGAACACTCAGTGTTTTCTCACTAGCCCAGCCAGCAGACAACAAGCTGCCATCGCTCAGCATCGGGAGATGCGTCTCCAGGAGGGCGGGGATCCTTTCCTTGGTACCTGCTCCCTCACGCTCCCACTCCTGCTCTGCCATCCTGGAGTCTGAGCTCATTACGGAACGCAGAGCTGCAGCGCCGGTCTGGGATCTTGTAATGCCTTGTCATGAAATACAGCAAAATCCCCTGTGATTCCAGCAGGAGACAGGACGCCTGGAAGATTAACTCTCTAAAGCAGCAGTCTTTCTCCGGGGGTGGGGCCGCATCCATCTGATAGAGGGGGCTCTATTTTATTTCTAATTTTAAACCACTGTCTGCAAAAACCATAACGCGCTGACATCATTTTAAAATGCAGCCTGCACAAATATGTTCCTGAGTACATTTCCTCCTGTCACATTCTGTTCTAAACTAAATCCCAAGTCATTCCAGCTCCACCAAAGAGATTACGAGGACAGACTAAACTCCTTTCTGCTGAACCTGGAATAATGATCATGATGATCAGAAAAATAATAGCTACAACAATTAATATTTATTCAGTGCATACTACGTGTCAGGCATTGTTCTAAGCACATTACGGTCATTCCATCCTCATTTCCTCCTCAACAACTCTATGAGGTAGGTACTCTTATTATGACCATTCTACAGAAGAGAAAACTGAGGTACAGAGAGGTTACATCACTTGCCCACGATATACACACAGGGTGAGTGATGGAGCCAGGATGAAACCAAGGTGATCTGGCTTGAGGGCACACTCCTAAATACAAACTCTCCTGCCTTTCATGCTGGAAAGCAGAGACTTCCTCTTGGTTGTCAGGAGCTCGGACAAGTCCCCAGTCCATCATGACCTGGTCACTGTTTATCTTTCCAACCTCATTTATTTCCACTCCCGTGCACACTCTCCAGCTGTCCTGGGTTACTGCTGTTTTTGGTGCCGTTGACTTGATTCTGACTCATGGCAACCCCATGGGACAGAGTAGAACCGCCACATAGGGTTTTCTTGGTTGTAATCTTTATGGAAGCAGAACGCCAGGTCTTCTCCTGAGGAGCTGCTTGGTGGGTGTGAACTGCCAACCTTTCAGTTAGCAGCTGAGCGCTTAACTGTTGAGCCACAGGGGCTCCTCTCCTGGGTTACTGCATCACTGACAATAACAAGCCCTGCATTTGTCTGGACCTCTGCTGTCCCCTCCACATGCCATCTCCCTTGTCAGCCTGGCAAACTCCTACACATCCTTCTCCACCCTGCTCTCTTGTAGCCTGCGATGGACTGAACTGTGTCCCAAAAGATGTGCTGACATTCTAACTGCTGGTCCCTGTGAATGTGACCTTGTTAGGAAATCGGGTCTCTGAAGATGTTATCAGTTAACACGAGGTCACAGTGGGGTAGCGCGCGTCCTATCTGATAGGAGCGGTGTCCTTATGGAAAAGGAGAAGACACACAGAGACAGAAACACAGAGGAAAAAGGCCGTCTGAAGACGCGTTTATAAGCCAAGGAATGCCAGGGCTACCAGGCGCTGGAAGAGACAAGGCTCTTCCCCCAGAGACCAGAGAGGGAACGCGGCCCAGCCAGCCACTGGTTTGGACATCTAGCCTCCAAAACTGTGAGTCCATAATTTCAGCTCTCACAAGCCGCCCGCTTGTATTTTGTCTCGGCAGCCTTCAGAACCCGATACACAGCCTTCATGGCGCTGTACGCGCTGTACACACTGCAGGAACCAAGGCGAATTCTCAGATTTCAGTATGGTAGTTTTGCAATAACTTTTTTTTTTTTTTTAAGGTACTGATATTTAAACAGTATTAACCTTAGATGGCGCCCTGGTGGCTCAGTGGTTAAGAGCTTGGCTGCTCACCAAAAGGTCATCAGCTCGAATCCACCAGCCACTCCTTGGAAACCCTATGGGGCAGTTCTACTCTGTCCTATGGGGTCACTAGTAACCAGAATTGACTCGATGACGACGGGTTTTCTTTTAAACCTTAGAAAGGGATTCAAACATTTTCTTTTCAGAATAGGCTCCCCCAGTTCATTTAAGAGATGGTTTGATTTATCAATTGTGATGTGCATTTACCTAAGACCACATTTACATGATGATACACACATGTATGTGTATAATCTTCGAGTGGGGCTGTACTCTATAACTTTACTTAAATACACCTCACGCATATAACAGGGGCAGGCTGCTGTTTCTTTTCGACTCAGATTACTCAATCTGCACAGACTTTGAACAACGTGTGCAACAGGCCCCTCATAACACGAGCACCCCAAGATGTGCACCACGGTGGTGCCATGCTCCAGCTTAACTGTGAGATCCCCAAGGTTGCTGTCACGGAGCCATCTTACTTGTTAATGTTGCTGCCTTCCTTCAGTCGCTCTCCCGCAGCGCCTGTCTTGGACACTCTCTCACTGCCTGCCAGGTCCACCAGGCTGACCTTACTGACTTTCTCTCCCGAGTTCTAGTGGCAAGAAACGAGAGAGAAACGACACACATCAATGCAAAAACCACACAGATATCGACACCTATGTCAACACGACAGTTAGGAGAGCAACGTGAGTATCCACCTCGTTCCGACGAGGCAAACTTCTCAAGATTTTAAACTGTCAGAGGAGTTATTTGGACGAGCAATCCACTTCATAGTCAATGTTCAAACTGGCGTGGAAAGCTAGCATTTTGTTTTGTAGCTGGGTAGTGAGTTCACTCAGCTTCCCAGCACACAGAAAGCTGAGGTTTTCTGCTTCTACAAGGAAATGCTAGGATGTGAGGATTCCTGCACATTTAGGTCAAATTTGTCTTCCTGTGAAAACGTGCTCTTTAGGCTAAAGGTTATGGTGTCTGCTGTAGCAGCCCTCCACTTCTACAAGGTAGATTCAGTTCTTTTAGGGGAATTTCAGTAGGAACGTATACACATTAGAAGCTGTATGGTGACGCCGTCATGCTCTTGAGGGAGTTTACATTAAGAATCCAATTTTCTTAAAAAAGTTATATAGAAAGGAAGACCTAACAAATTAAATGATTTAAGTCAAGTAGCTTATCTAGCAAGCAGAGGAGCTGACAGAAAACCCTCAGCCACTGACTCCTCCTGAGCCACCTCACCCAGGCAGTCATTCCACTGCCACCAAAAGCTCTGCCCGAACCCTCACCCCAGACTGCAGGTCATAAAGCGTCTGTGTGATGATGATGTTGAACACGGCGTGGGAGCGGCTACTTTCTTCATTCATGTTGGTTGCAGCTACCGTTCGAGACTTATTTCCCTCAGACATCAATGACTCAATATCCTAGAGGCAAAGCATAAGGAAAACACTATAAGCAAACAACCACAACACCACACTGCCTACCAGGTGTAACTATTAGTTAGGATCCCTCTGACGCCCTCGCCACCGCCCTTCCGTAAAAGCCTGGCTGTCTTTCCTCATCTTGCGTGCTCTACTCTTCACCTTGCTCAGTTCTCCCTAGTCCATGAAATGTCTCCCCATTCTTCGGTCCATCCCCCAAGGATCTACTTGCTCTGTTGCTGGTGTTGTGCCCTCAAGTCGATTCCGACTCATAGTGACCATACGGGACAGAGTAGAACTGCCCCTACAGGGTTTTCTAGGCTTTTCAGGTGCAGACCACCAGATCGTCTCTCCCACGGAGCGGCTGGTGGATTCAAACTGCCAACCTTTTAGTTAGCAGCCAAGCACTTAACCACTGTGCCACCACGACCCCTTCTCTGTGAGTCCCTATTTTCTCCTTTGCAAGTTCCTAGGGGAGAAAAGGGCTAATGTTTACTGAGCACTACAGATGCTCAAAAGGTAGGTAGCTAGCCGACTGAATTCTGACTCTCCTGTGCTATGCCCCTCCCTCTCGCCCGACACGGGGGCTCTCCAGAGCAGGGGTGTTTCTTATTCATCTCTGTACACTTCCTTCTAGAACACCTGGATCCTACAGCTTCTTATAAAATGTTCGATGAATGAGAGGTATTCTCCTGATTTCGCACACGAGAACACTGCAGTGCAGGAAGGTTAAACAGCTCTGCCCACATGCAGTAAGAGGCAGAGCGGGGAGGCAAACCCGAGGCTCCTAGCTCTCAGGGACACGCAGCAGCGTGAGATGGACACAGAGCCCAAGCACACTGAGCTAAAACGAAGGCTCCTGAGCAAAGCATTTGCCAATTGCAAAGACCGACCGAAGGACTCTGCATTTTCACGTCGGGCAGGTTTCCATTCATTTCAGAATCTGAACATTTGTAAAGGTATTTCTGATCGGAGCAATACTAAGAACATCTTCATTTAAATGGCTGGAGAGCGTTACCTCGCAGATTAATTTTAGTCAGACTGAGTTTGAGATGCTGATACAACTGCCACATAATACAGATGTGAGTATTCATTCATTCATCCGTTTGCATCCCTCACCAACAAAGACAGCAGTTCATGTTACAAGATTTCCAAAGCAGGGATTATAGAAACAAGAGCAGAACTCTGAGCCATGCCTTAAGAAGGCATGAAAGTCAAGGAGTGCATAAAGGAAAATGAGTCAGTCAGTGGGGAGAGGAGGGATACAGAAAAGCAAAAGAACCAGAAGAGTGAGAAGCAATGGAAGCTGAGGCAGCAGATGCTGTCAAAGACAAGGGTCACGTGAGACGCTGTTTAGACTACCAGATTTGTCGAGAAGGACGTCACTTGGCAACCTTAGGGAGGACAGTCTCCACAGAGTGGTGTGAGTGAACAGATTCAGCAACCTCGAAACACTGGGCATTTCAGCCACATTACAACTCTCACAACACAGCAGCTTCAAGAGCGTGACTAAAAGCCCTTTCTCCCCATTTGGCATGTGTTGACACTGGATTTCTGAGGCTATGAATGATACCAACATACTATAAAGTATCAACGGAAAAACACATTCAACATCAGTTACACTCTGACATACTGTCAGATTTTTTTAATGATTTTTTTTTTTTTTAAAATGACACTTACTTCAAAGCTAGTAACAGCCAGTTGAGATAAACCATCTACATATGGTCCCAAAACTTTATGCTCTCGAACTTTAAGAGACTGTCTACTCCTGTGGGAGCAAAGAAAAAGGAATGAATGAATCAGACCAAATTTGGAAGCTTTTCTTTCTTTGTCAGTATGCAGAAATTAAGGCTGCAATTTGGAAAGTTTTTTTTTTTTTTTTAATGAACAGAAAATATTCTAAAAACGACTTTATTTGGATTAGCTCAACCGCATTCCATATGAGGAATGTCTTATGCTCCAACTTCTATTTAAAGTAACATACTATTTAAAAGATTCTATTCTGAGTCCCACACTAAAGAGCCAGTCTTACAGAATGCTAGGTTAGGCTAACTTCTTCAGCAGACGAACTTCAGAAAAATGCAATACTGTGCACAGGGGGTTAAAAAAGGTGAGGTGAAGAATATGGCCAGAGTGAATTGAACCTAAGGCTGTCGTTTTTTTAATATTATTTTATTGTGGTAAAATATATATAAGCCAAAAATTTGCCAATTCAATAGTTTTTATATGTACAATTCAGTGACACTGGCTGGGTTTACCAGGCTGGCAGCTGTCACCACCGTTAACAGAGGTCCCGTGTCGCCTAAGCGATACCTCCCCCGTCTCCCTCCCTCCCAACCCTTCTCACCACTAATAAGCTCTGGTCTCTACACACTTGCCCATTTCATGTAAGTGGGATCATATACGATTTGTCCTTCTATGACTGACTTATTTCACTCGACATAAGGTTTTCAAGATTCATCCATGTTATGGCACGTATCAGGATCTCATTTCTCTTTATGGCTGAGTAACATTCTGTTGTGTGTGTATACCATGTTTTGTTTAGTCATTCATCTGTTGACGGACATTTAGGTTCTGTCTACATTTTGGCTACTGTGAATAATGCTGCAATGAACATCCGTGTACAAGTTTCTGTCTGTGTTCCTGCTTTCAGTTCTTTTGTGTGTACACCGAGGACTGGGATTGCTGGGTCCTATGGTAGTTCTGTGCTTAACTCTTTAATTAAAGCTATTTTATAAATAACAAATTCTCAGTAAATAATGTGTTGAAATTTTTGAACAAGCAGTGCATTATATCAAAATGTTTTAACTTTAATTTACTTCTTCAGGTCTGCAGTATCTTATGCTGCTTCTAGACTAACGATTTTAAGCAGAAAATGATATTACAGTGTCCTGGTGTTTACAGTTACTGGTATTTTCTTTATATTTAAAATTGGCACGGCTGGTGAAGATTTTAGGGCTCTTCTGAATTTTTAAATGGTGAACCTGGTTTGGGGTCTATTTGAACAGCGTATCAAGAGACAATTGAGATTAAAGGTGAAGCTATATGTATCATGACCATATTGTGTAGGTCATCTTTTCATGCCATCAGGTATTAATCACTTTTAAAATCAAGAGTCAATGCTTGGCATCAACTCAAGAGAGAAAAAAGGTGCTAAGAATTACTGGGAGTCCCTAGGAGGTGAAAATGGCTAATACCTTGGCTATTAACTGCAAATTTGGAGGTTCAACTGCACCTCAAGGCCCCTCGGAAGAAAGGCCTGGTGATCTGGTTCCAAAAAATCAGCCACTGAAAACCCAACGGAGCACAGTTCTCCTCTGACACACATGGGGTAGACATGAGTCAGAACTCACTCGACAACAACTGGGCTTTTTTTTTTTTTAATCTTTGAGTGGTGGGATTATAAGTCATTTTTATTTCTTCTTATACTTTACCTATTTTCTAAATTTTCTATAAAGTTATATAATTTTTAAATCAGCAAAAACAATGTAATTTTAAAAAAGTAAACGGGCCTCTCCTTTCTCTATGAATCTAGCTTTTATCACCCAGTTTTTAAACAATACAGACGCCTGGGTCTCACCCTGGGTTTACTGAATCATAATCTCTAGGACTGAGGCTCAGGCCCGTGTATCTTTAAAAAGGTCCCCACATGAGCCCAACACAAAAAGACGAAAACTACTTGCCCGGGCTGAGTGGTTTCAATTCTTCAATCACTTTACCTCCAATTCAGAGGGGCTGCTTTCCAACAGAAATGAAGGACCTATGTGTCATTCTTAAAGCAATTTTGAGGAATAGGCCATCACGGCAAAAACAATACCAACAGTAAAAACATCTTTATAAAAATGGCATATGTTAGCAAATGTATACATGAATATAGGATAATCTGTATGTGTACTAGGTATACCACTAGGCTTCCAGAGGCTGATGATTTCTCAGTAAATGAACTGAACTCAGAGTATTAGTGACCAAGTCCTCAAATAAATGTGTAACTTGGGATTTTGACTTAAGGATCATTACTATTACTTGTGAGGTTGGCGCAGGACTGAGCGGTGTTCCATTCTGTGGTATGCAGGGTTGCTGTGAGTAGGAAACGACTCGACAGCACCTAGCAACAGCAGCCACCCTATTACAAACTTAATTCCAACCAGTAACTCACCCTTTGGGGTCTAAAAGGTCCCGCACTTTCTCGTTATAAATTTCCATATAGGATACTTCGACTTTGAAGGTCTGTGATTCATTCTGTTCCAAAGAAATCCTTTGAAATAAAGCACAGCAGAGCCTTGGAATGAGGCCCAGCTGCTCAGCATTGCCCATCATGGAGAAGGATTTGCCTGAACCTGGAGAACAGAGAACAGAAAGAAGGAAGGGTGGCGGCAGCAGCAAAATGTAACGCAGCAAGCGTGCAAAGCCAGGTCACAGAGCAGAAAAGTGGCAGATGTGACCCTCCAACCCAGGCCTCAGACACTCAGGCTACAGCTCTTTCCACTACGCTCCCGTGCTCCAGCTTGATCTCACCACACGCTCCAGAGGGCACCTTGTTTACAGATGGATGGGTATATATGCACCCACTAAAAACACATAATCTTTAAAAATACATACAACAAAATACCAACTACACATCATTAAATAACATAAACAGTGTATTACCCATTTTTTAAACAGTGTATTACTCTTATATAGTATATTTGTCAAAGTGCCTTGAGATATACTCTCTCATCTGAGTCCCCTAGTTATCCTGTAATCTGATATAAGGCAGCACTGTTACGATTTTTTTTTTATGTACTTTACATGAAGGTTTACAAAACAAACTAGTTTCTCATTAAACAGTTAATACGCATTATTGTTTTATGACATTGGTTAACAACCCCACGACTCGTCAACACTGTCCCTTCTCAACCTTGGGTCCCCTCTCACCAGGTTTCCTGTCCCCTCCTGCCTTCTAGTCCTTGTCCCTGGACTGCTGTGCCCCATTAGTCCCATTTTGTTTTATGGGGCTGTCCAATCCCTGGCTGAACGGTGATCCTCGGAAGCGACTTCACCACTGAGCTAAAAGGGTCTCCGGGGGCCATACCCTCAGGGTTTCTCCAGTTTCTGACAAACCAGTAAGTCTGGTCTTTTTCTGTGAGTTAGAATTTTGTTCTACATTTTTCTCCAGCTCTGTCCGGGACCCTCTGTTCTGATCCCGGTCACAGCAGTCCGTGGTGGTAGCCGGGCACCACCTAGTTGTACTGGACTCGGTCTGGTGGAGGCTGTGGTCCATTAGTCCTTTGGACAGTCTTTCCCTTGTATCTTGTTTTCTTCACTCTCCCTTGCTCCTGATGGGGTGAGACCAGTGGGGTATCTCAGATTGGCGCTCACCGGCTTTTAAGACCCCGGACGCTGCTCTCCAAGGTAGAATGTAGAACATTGTCTTTATGGTATGATTTCTTGATTTATTCCCACTTTACAGTTGGAAGAAGGAGCCATGGTGGTGCACTGACTAAGCGCTTGGCTGCGAATCAAACAGCCACTTCCCAGGAGAAAGACCTGGTGAGCTGCTCCCATAAAGATCACAGCCTACAAAATCCTACGTGCAGTTCTACTCTGTCACATGGGGTCACTGTGAGTTGAAAATTGACTAGACAGAACCTTACAACAACAGCATAGGTGAAGGACTGGTAGCTGAGAGTGTTCATGGCTGAGCCATTATTATTATTATTTTGTCTTATTTGTTTCAACCAATTGGACCAAAAGCTTACGTTTAATAATTTATCATCAATGAGTTATATTCTAGTGAAGTCCTCAGTACAGAATAAGACTAAAAGTTTTTCTACAGTTTTTACTGTAACATTTATACTAAGGGATTGGCAATTATTTTTCTAGTTTAAACACAAGTGAAAACTATAATTGAGGAAAATGGCACTTAATAGTTTGAAACTAGCTTTGCTCATTAACACTGAAATTACTCAATTACCAAACTGTTGAGCCTTCAGAAAGGTCACTTTTGATCATCTAATTGGGTTAAATCCACAAAGTTAGAAGCATTTTTCTGTTGCTTCCCAAGTGTTTTCTATTTCTAAATTTTTGTAAATGCATTTTTAATCATTGACTGCGAAATAAAAGCAGCATCTTACCTGTCTGTCCATATGCAAAAATACAAGCATTATACCCCTGAAAGGCCTTTTCAAGAATTCCTTCCCCAAGGCACTTGAAAACCACTTCTTGACCTAAAAAACAAAACCAAAATAATAATAAAATTTTAAAAGAAAAAAAAATAATAATTTTTCTTGATGTACTTTTATTAACAGTTCCTGAACACATGGACAACACTCTCTCGATCCAAAAAATACGTTAACAGTGCACTGCACACACCTACTATGTGCAGCGCTCTGTATTAAGAGA